ACAGCCAAAACTGTAAATAAAGTCAATATTTTCACAATAAAAGTTTTTTTTCTGTTGCAGTGTTTGACTGTAAAACTGTATTTAAATCAGTTAAAGTATGTCATTATTTAAAAGAAAGATTGTGTATAATAATGTTTTTAAACTAAAATGTACAGATTTTCCTTGTGCTGTTAAATTACTGGAAAAATCATGCCCCCAAAAAAGGAATAATTTAAATGCTGACTGTTAGTAAACGGACTGAAACTGGACGTAATGTTCACCTCAAACACCTGCATTTTCACAAATAGTCATAATTTGGTCTTTACACTGTGTGAGAGTAAAATTATCATTTTATTGTATTTAAATCAGCAGAAAAATGTCGTTGTTTTACGGATGTTTCCTGTTGTTTTTTAATGTTTTGTAATTTTTGATTGTTCGTGTTCGACCATTTTATTTATTTTTAAAAATTTTTGGCACCTTTGCTGCCAAATTTTCACAGTTTTTTAATAGATTGTTGTTGTTGTTGTTGTTTTTGTTGTTGTTGTGTACAGCAGCCACGACCCCAAAGAGAACATCAGTTTGTGTTCGTGACGCCCAGTTTGAATCTAAATATCTCACGAGTGAGAACTTTCATGCACTAATGTGTGAACTCCACAGATTGATCTCTTTACATCAACACGTTCATTTTCTTTTGAATTAATGATTAATGACTTAATTTGTTCGAAATTGAATTTATTTCGAACAAATGAAAGCTAAAAGAAAATATAAAAACAATAAAAAAGAAAAAAAAAGAGCAAAAAAAAAATCAGAATATAATCCATTCATAATATTAACAAGTTCGAAAAAGGAGTTGGAAGAAGTTTAGACTTTTCATTTTGACAGCCCTGATACACATTTATCTGATAAATGTAGGCTTTATTTTATTTTATTTTATTCTATTTATTTTCAATGATCTGGTGACCCCATGAAATGATCTTGGGACCCCCATGGGGGTCCCGACCCCCAGCTTGAGAACCACTGGTGTACACAACACAGAGTCCATCTATCTAAGACTTGGAAGTCGTCTGAACTCACTAAGATTGATGCAAACTGCTTCTCGTCGAGTCCTGACTTCATTTTTCACATCTAACAGCTTCACAGCAAAACAAAGAGAACAAGTCCTTCTTCATCTGCATTCTCTCTTTAAAGACCGTCAGCTGTTAACGAGGCTGACGAACCAATCATCAGCCGACTCGTTAGCCTTCTGCTGCCTGATTAGCTGCAGCTGTTCAAGTCGGAGACATCAGGAGAAGTTTTCAGTCTGAGATCAGAGACCTGGAGGCCGACTGATCGGCGGCGTGTCCACGTTGTGCTTCAGTCCAGCAGGATGCAGCAGGAACCTCCTCCTCCTCCTCCTCCTCCTCCTCCTCCATCTCAACTTTTAAACTGAGTGGGTGGAAAGTCCAAACATCTGTGATGTGCTGAGAGTCGCCCTGACACAGAGGAAGCGGCGGCCGCTTCACCCTCATCTCATTTTCCACTTCAGCTCGTTGGGGGAAGCCGTGGAGACACAGTTCTGCTGCACAGAGTTAAGAACGAGCATGAACGCTGTTTGTCTGAAGTCTGGGAGGAACAAACATCAGAATGTGTGTGACGCTGAACAAACAGTCTGATCAGAGCCGGTCAACGTGAAGGACGACATGTGGCCTCACATTAAACAGATCAGAGCTAAACGTGACTGATCTGCTGTTAGAGTGAACACAAGAGTCTTCATGCACTGCCAGCATCTGAGGATCTGAACACCCAGTGGATTACTGTTGCTATTAATGGTAGCATGTGGGACAGCTAACGTGGCTAACGGTAGCTTTGGTCTGCTCACATGTCAGAGCTCCGACACTTTGATTTAAACCAGTAAACAAGGACTGGTTGTGTTCGTGTGTTTTCTGTTGAGCTTCAGTTCACCTAAACTCAGCTGCTGTTAGCATCTGTTAGCTTCTCTCCTGCTCTCTGTGCTCACATTTACTGCATTATAATATCAGCTGAGTTCACATTAAAGCCGTTTGCAGCTAAAATATTGATTTTATAACGTCGTTCTGACAAACTCACAAAAAATTCAGATTTTCTTTCCATGATGATGCACTAGTTTACTGTTATTGTAACAAAAGAAAACTGGAATCATGTAACTTTTTTTTAAAAAATGTTAAACTATGACAATAACTTGAGCTTAAATTATGTTTTAGCTGATTTAAATACAGTAAAATTGTGTCATTTTACACTTTCACAATATAAAAGAACAAATTACTGTTTGTAAAAATGCAGATTATGTGCAGCTTTAGCTCGTTTGTTTTGTGTTCAACATGTCAACTGATAGATTTTTACTTGATTTTATGTGAAATTTGACAAAATAAGGGGAAAATCCTTAGAATAACAGTTTAAAAATGTTTTCAATCCAATGTTAATATTTTTTCTTTTAAATAACAGCAACTATCTTCAAAGTAAATGTTTTTTGTGCAGTTTTACATACAGCAAAAATAACAACATTTTACAGCAAAAACAAGAAAAACTTTTCACAGTCAACATCTAAATTAATTCCTTTTTTCAAACTATGATTTTACTAGTTATTGTCTGTAATTTACCAAAACGTGGAGAAAATGTAAAATAACAGGAAATTGTTTTAAAAAAAAAAAAAAAGTTCAAATCTGTTTGGATAAAGGCTCTGAAAAGTAAAGTTCAGACTCTGTATGGTCAGAGCATCTTCTTCCTGAAGCTAAACATGTGGCTTTAATAAAGAGTTCACAACATGGAGGCTTTACCCACAAAAAAAAATCAGATTTTTCCATAAAGAATGCACTTTTTTATTGCTTTTTTTTTTTTTAAAAGCTTGAATACTGTAGCTGTTGAAAAACATTAACTTATAGAGGTAAAATATATGTAAAATAATGTTCTTGAAGCTGATTTAAATCCAGTAAAACAGAGTAATTTTACACTTAAACACTATTAAAAAAAATTAATTCCTGAGTGTTGTTCCTGAAG